TAATTTAGCAAACTAAAGCCCTATGGTAGCAATAGATTTTAGGGAGGGTAGATAGCCTTTCAAACTCTCAAAACTTAGTCTATCATGAAAGCTTAGATTGCAGGTCTGATCCTTAACAAACCCGTTGGGTGAGGTCTACGTAAAAGTTTCAGCAGAATTACGTGTATTATTATTATTATTATTATTATTATTATTAGCTTAAATATTGTGAAGCAGAGCATAATGTATTTTGGTGAAGCTCTTAGAGAAACAAGCAGAATAACTGAATAAATGGGGTGTTTCATTTTTTCCATGAAAAACACTCCATACAGTTCACTACAGTTTGTGTTCTTTCCATTTTAAAATATTAATATTTAACACATGACTGCTTGAAATCATGTTTCTAAAAATAGAATGAATTGATATTCAGGGTCCTCAAATTAAAGGCCAAAGGTGACAAACCAAGACAAAGGTCACACAGCTCATTTTCAAGCAATCAGATTTAACTTTGCCTCATGCTAGAACAAAAACTTAACTATACAGAAAAGAAATGTATCATGTCACCCTTAAATGAGAAATGCAGATTGTTTTACAGGTTTTGAAGTAATAGGCATTTACAACTCCAGGCTAAGTGTAATGAACTTGTTCATATCTTACATAGCAGCGTGTGAGCTTTAGTATTGCTATTTTAATGGGAAATTACCTCTAAATAGATACAATCTCTAAATGTTAATGCAACCATGTCTTTACTGATTTCATCATTACAGCACATGTCTTGTCACAATTTAAACAAGCTGAACTAAGATCTTAAACTTTTAGTACACGAGTACTAAAAAAAAAAATGTTTTGTTGAATGAATTTAACATTGTTATGTTTTACCGCTAATTGGTAGCTTCAGGATTAAAATAGGTCTTTGTCCACAAAAGCTTGGGCCTCAATCAATCTGTTAGTCTTTGAGTGCCACAGACTTTGTGAGCCTGCTAAAACACTAGTACACCTCTCAAATTTGCTGTTTTCCTTCAGTCAAATAAAAGATTCCCATTATTACTGAATATTACAATAAGCCATCCACTGCGACTTGAAACTTAGTCTCTCATTGCTCACCTTTTATTGTCAGATTCTAAATACAGTATCATTAAACAAATTAGAAATCTGTACAGAATAATGGGAGTATGTGCTTTGTAAAACACACCAACCAAACCACCTATCACTAAACTGGGGCGGGGGGCAGGATGTGTTTTTATTTATAATAGTTTGCATTAAAATAATTTTTAAATATGAACTTCAGTTGTTTGCAAGATCTGCATTAAACTTATGCTATGTGAATGTAAGTTACTAATTTTTCTTTTCAGTGGCTTCATTTTTGTTCATGACAACTGAAAATGTGTAAATTTAATGGAGACATCTTATTCCTGCATTTATACAATATTACCTAACCTTATTAAAATGTTGCCACTTGGTTAATGAATATACATAAAAATCAGCATGTTTTTGTTGAGTTTGTTTCTTTGTTTCCATTAATACCTGGAACAGTCATTAAGTGCTAGGGTAACTTTTTTAAAAAATTAGCTTGATGTTTAACTTCTCAAATAAATGTGTTAACAATATTTGTGGCAGGCCACATAGACAAAGGTTCACAAGAGTACAAAAACATACAGTTATCAAGATAATAATAGGCTCATTTTCTAATCATGGGTAATAATATTTGAATATACTGTAATTACAAGATAAGCCAGGTCTTATAATTATCATGCCTAGCTGATTAGACAAGAAATCAATATTATTCTTCATATATTGGGGTTTACTGCACATGCATACCAAGTCAATATAAATACGACCATTTACTAATATTAAATTACCAGAAGCAACTCTTCTTAAATGTGTCTTCTCTTGAGACTATGCCATGGGCTTAAATAAAATTGGTTCAGTTCTTGTAAAATCAGATGGAAACTTAATGCAGTTATGTATTTGATTGACTAATTGTTAAATGTTAATTTAAAGGCTGTTTAGAAAATCATTAAAAAGTGGAAGGCCTATGATTTCTTTTCATTAAGGTATCCAAGAAATTTAGGTGTATGTTTTGAATAGACATTGGAAAAGAGATAAAGAGAGGGGTAAGTTGTTGCTCATTGAATTCTACTTTAAAATAGCAATCTGTGTTTGTGACTATGCAGCTACACTAATATAACTGAATCTAGTTTTAGCCTCTCATTAAGTAAATTGGAATGGAGCACTATAAATGGACTAAACTATGTAATGCTAACAAATGTTGATTTGATAAATAAATTAAGTCACCCTTTTGGCTCTGGTGGTATAAATAGTCTCATTGATGCTAGTGCATATATTTCTGAGATATGGATCTCTCAATATCAATAAAACAGATTGTATTTGACTGCATATATATTGAAATTAATGAACTTTATAAATGGATTGGTTCTCTTAACTATGCCAATTTCAAACTGTAGTTTCACTTGTATTAATCTATCTAAATAATTTTAATACCTTAACAAGAAAGAGAGGTGACAAAAAAATCAAACTCAAGATTTAACACAAAAAAGATAAACCCTAAAATCTTACCCTGATTAAATTTGGTAAAGGAAATCCCATGGATTCTGATCTGAACAAAGGTTACAGTACAATCCAGTTTAAATGAAGTATGTTTAAATTCTATTGTAATTGAAAAAGGAATATATAAGCATTAGCATAACTATCTCTGCTGTTGAAACCACATGTTTGCCTTAATCATAAACTGGCCTATGATGATTTCTCAATGTTTAGTGAAAAAAATAAGCAAAAAAATTTATATATTTTCCACCTATTTTGTCAGTTTTGAATAGGCTTTAATTTCTTTTCATAGGACTGTAATATAATTAAAGGGTAAAATAATCCCATAACTTCTTTTTTAGTTATCTGATTTGTGGAAAGCTGCTTTAAAATGCAGTTGGTAAAATGCATATTTGCTTAGTTATGCGGATCATTAAGGCTTCAGTTCTATACAGTACATACTTCCCTATGAGTAACTTTCATTTAGTTTAGTGGGGCATATGTTTGAGTCAACATATATAGGATTGTACTGCATATAATAAAACCAGGTCCTTAAACCTGTAATGTTGCTTCTATTACTATTGTTCATTAGAAGACAGTTTTCTTTTTCTTTTCTTTTTTTAAAAATGCTTTAGAAAACAAACGTAACAAATAGTTTCAGGTTTGGGGTGGCTTTACTGCATGTTATTCTAAACATTTTACAACTGAAGTTTATTTTCAGTTTTAATCTAAAGGCCTAAACAAATATTTTCAGGTAGTTCAAATTCCTCTTAGCAGAATTTATTCAAGCACTAAAATTCATTTTCAATGAAATGTATTTTTTAAAAGGAAACCTTCCAGCTTTCATTTTAGCCTTTACAAGAAGAATTACATTCATACAAATAATAGAAATAATAAGTGTTTATGTACATTTTAGATAGCTTAACTGAAGAATTTCCATCTAGGAGTAGAAGTGGGGGGAAATGAGCACCAAGACAAATACAATATAACATGACCATAACTAACTAAAACAAGGTCTGAAACATGGACCGGGGTGTGTGTATTATGATGTATTTAAATAAATGCACATTTTTTTCCTCACTTTTCATAACTGTTTTATTTGTCTCATTTTATTCTTACCCATCTCAATTTTTAAAATGTGAAAAATTAAACTTTTGCTTTAGCGCATATTTTTAGGAAAATTAAAGAATAGCTTTTAAGAACTCATATATAATATTACATTGTTCATGTTGTCTCATGTTGAATTAAATTTTAGGACAGAGCATCTATTAAAAACCATAACTTTCTATTTTTCAATTGCCTTTGGTGGCAGAGGAAAAGTGCCTAATACAGGTGCTTAGTAGACAAGTTTCAAAAATATCAGATTAAAATGACATAAAAATGAAGTTTCAAATATGTATAATTGAAATGGCAAAGCATCTAAACATATGACACGATTTGATGTCACACTTTACCATCTCTTGTCCAAGTGTCAGGGAAACATTTTGCTGAAAAAGCTCTGGGTTGTCTTAAGCAAAATGTATAATATCATCAATATCTTGAAATTGACTGTGTCCCCAAACATACTACAAAACAGAATATAGCTTGGATTTTTCAGGAAAGCTGCGGATGTGCTTGTCTGAATAGGTTGCCTAGTTCTGCATTGCCCAATAATACAATGAAGATCTTTGTTCATTATCCTTTCTAGGTTATTAGTTTCTGTGAGAAACTAATTCTCACTAAACAGTTGGAGAAACAATATGAAATTGCAGTAGATCCATCCCATTGTGGTGCAGCACTTGCTGAGACCAAGGAATCTGCATTTGCCAACACACATCTCTTTTGTGCCACCCCCACCTTATTGACTTGCTCTCTGAAACTCCTGTGCTAGTGCTGGGGATTATGCTAGCCTATTGATCTACATAATATCATGCAATACCAAAGCATACTGCTGCATGCAAAGGATAATGCAGGGGGTGCAAGAGGGCAGATGGAATTTGCCTGGACCAGAAGCTTTGGGTGGAACTTGGTGAAATCATTACCTCAGGAATTGTATTTTCCCTCAGGTAAATTACACTGGGAGGGTTAGCTCCCAATTAAAAGAAATCCAGCAGCCCCAAAATTCTGTAAGTATCCATTATTATTTAGCAAATTTTCTGTTTCTTGATGTTTTGATTCCCTTTTAATTATGGGAAAATATGGGAAAACTGCTACATGAAACCGAGGTATTTTTCATGAGAAATGGGAACTTGTATTGAATTCGTCGAGGTAAAAGCAAGTACTGTATGTTTGCCTTGTAAATGTTATATAGTGAAGAAGAATCAGTCCTTTTGGTTCTAAGAATAATAAAAATGGTGGCTTAAAGAAAATCACAAGACACCAAAGAAATGTGCTGTACAGTGTCAATCTTGTAAGAGTAAGAGGGGGCAGGGAAATGCTCTCCACTCATGAGTAACTATTATATCACTGAAATATGCTCCAGTCCAAGATGGCTGTCGTCTGTTAAAGAAACAAAAGGTATTTTATTTGTATCATGTGAATTTTAAAGGTGTTCCAGTGTTGCAGTTTAAATTGTACAAAGAATCATTTATATGGTGCGGTACTTTATCTCAATATAGTATTGCAGTGTAAATTAATTATAAATGTATATATTTCAATAACTATATATGTTGCTATTCATAAAAACATCAGAGCGGTTTATAACAATTATGCATTAGAACATACAGTGAAAACAATATAAAATAATTAAAAATCAGAAAGCAGATAGCTGTAATGGAAAAAATGTATTCTTAATTGACTTCATAAGCCTGATGGATTAGAAAATTTTCAACCTTAATAATTCAACAAGCTTATACAAAATTAAATCTTAATTACTACATGAATTCTTGTAGCTTGCAGTATTTTGCATGACTTATCTTTCAAATGTGGAGTGACTCTGGAATTTTGCTGGGAGTGGGGTGGGGAGGTGCTGATAAGAAAGCTGTAATAAAACAAAAGTAAGTGGTGAAGTGCTTTTGGCATGTGTTAAACTATCAGTTGTAAGGGAGACACAGTTATTGGAGTAGTCATTACATAGCTAGCTTCTGGACAGTCCAGAAAACTAAGAAATGGATTGTTGGAATGTAACCTAATCTCCATGCATAACCCAGGTAATAAATTCACCCTTTTTAGACACCCAACATGCAAGCACTAAACAGTTTAAAAACAATATGTGACACCTTCCATTTATCGAAGCAAAGTTTTTGCTTAATGTCTGTAGGAACAAGCTCTGAAGAAAAATGGCTGATAGGATTTTCATTTGTAACAGAGAAATGTGACATGCCTTTAAGTTTGTTACTACTAAGGTTTATTTGCATTTGTCTGGGTTATTTTATATATGTTCATCATGACTGTGGCTAAACAATGACATTAATTTTATATTGCATATAACATGTGCTGCCTGAATGCTACATCCAGCAAGCCATAGACTTTGAGCTGCTTCTGCCATTATTAATTGAACAACGCATTGTGTTATCCAGTTACCATTAGGTATCTTGCTTGTGGAAGAGATCAGTTAAAGAACACTTTTCATAAAAATGTGGGTGTCTTTCTCCCCTCAGTACATTAGACTGATTAGAACACCACCTGGTTATCCCATTGTGGTTGTGATGAGCTAGGTAAATCGCAACCTGTTAAAAGTTTACAGGTCACTTCATAGAGTCAAGAACAGACATTTTATGGCCTTCTAATGAGCCATTAAACTGGAGAACAGATAATTAAATACAGTGCTCTGGTAGAATTAACATAGTAGTGACTGCAGCTCTCTGATTTCCAGGTGCCTCAGAAGACTATGAAATCATTCTGGGAAGCCTCTTCAAGTCCAGGTTAGTCCTCTTTATTCCTCTCGCCACCCCGTTTTGTGACTGTGCTAGTTTGCCCATGGGTGACTGGAATTGAGAACATCTTTCCTAAACTGATTGAGCCTAGTTTCCCTGAGGAAACGCATCATTAAAATGTACCCTGATTTTTCCAAGGCTTGGCAGCCAGTTACCTAAATTAGGTGCCAGCTGAATCCAAATAAAAGTTAGTCATAATAGCCAGTAATTTCTGTAGCCTAGTTTAACTCACGCTTCTTTGTTTTACCAATAATTACTTCCCAGGAAGTATTTAAAGACGCACAGAACCACTCCCCCTCGGAAGAAGAAGAGGCAGAACCAAACTTGAGAAGCCATCACAATCCCCTTCTCATCATCCTTTAAAACCCCACTGGTCAATAGGGTTAATCTCTTGTAGGTGTATTGAGGTTTGCAGCCTTACCCATAAGTCTAATGTAGTGTATGCTTATTGAAAAACTGGGATAGCTCTGTCAGTAGAGCATGAGAGTCTCAAGGTGGTGAGTTCAAGCCCCACATTGGGCAAAAAGATTTCTCCGTTGCAGGGGGTTGGACTAGATGACCTTTGCGGTCCCTTCCAGCTCCACAGTTCTATGGTTCGGTGATCTTCACGAGAATAATTTGTTGCCAGCCTAACATTAGTACTAATAAAATACAACATAAAAAGTGTCAATAGTGGCTTGCTGAGGATGTCCTATTTCAGAAAACCTTTTATCTTATATAGAAGAATTACGTGCAGATGATATACTATTTCTGGCACAGCCTTTCAGATCCTGCTGTTGGGTTCAAAAGTGCCATCCGAATATTACAGACTTGTACATGCTTACATGGGCATAGCCAGGATTTTTGTTGGGGGGGGGCAGGCCTTTTGTTAAGTAGGCAGAACCTCAGTTAGCTATGTATTTTTATTGATTTGTATTGGTTGGGGGGGCAGCTGCCCCTTCCTGCCCCCCTTGGCCCACGCATGCTTATGCAGAAGTAAGTTGATGCCCAGTGGGACTTACACCCAAGTGTATGTTTGTAGAACTGCAGCCTAACAGGCTTCCCACCCCAATTTTATTCTGTATTCCCGCCCCCAGTGTTCTGCATACTCTCTCTTTAGGAATTCTGATGCAACATAGCCTATTGAGATTGATATCAACCATAGACACGAACTCCACTCCATTTCCTTCAACTAGTGAAGGAAAAGGAAACGGGTGGGGGGGTGTAGATTACCGTAGTTCCAAGAGTTTGCTTTTTCATTTGCTGGCCATGGGGCTGCTGGAGTTAATTCTGCTGCTGTCTTGCAGATTGTATTAGGTGCTTGCAAAATCAAGTAGATTAAGTTAAAACAAAACCTTAGAGGTTTTAACTGTATAGAGCCCACACCATCTTATTTCCAGAGAATCTCTGATCTACGCTTAGTAGCCCCGCTTTGGGCGGATTAATCACAGACCAGGACGGGTTGGGGGACCACCCCTCCCAGCCAGTGCTAGCCTACCTTTCCCCTGATCCGCCTCTTGACTCGGCCTCTTTCCATCTCCAACCCCTGTTCCTAGTTCCAGTTACAGATAGGTAGCCATGTTGGTCTGCCATAGTCAAAACAAAAAAAATTCCTTCCAGTAGCACCTTAAAGACCAACTAAGTTAGTTCTTGGTATGAGCTTTCGTGTGCATGCACACTTCTGAAGAAGTGTATCTGAAGAAGTGTGCATGCACACGAAAGCTCATACCAAGAACTAACTTAGTTGGTCTTTAAGGTGCTACTGGAAGGAATTTTTTTGTTTTGACCCTGTTCCTAGTGCTTGCCAGCCGGAAGGCATCAACACGACTCCCCCCGCCCTTTTTTAAGCTAGCTATCTTCCATGTCGCCGCAGGCCAAGTGGTGGTTCCTTTATTGCGTTCTTCCCGAAACTAGTTTACAGGGTCAAACTCATTCTCGCTCATCTGTTTTCTGAATTTATTGGCCCATAAAGCACGGAAGAATCTCCCGGCCGGCCGGCCAGCTAACTTTCTGGTCGACGGGTGGGTGGAACTCTGCGCGCGCTTACCTGGGAGCAAGCCTCCCTCCGCCAGAGTGGCGTTTACTTCCGAGTAGACAGTGCCCTGGCTTGCCCTGTGAATCCTGAACTTTCTGCAGCCGCCTCTTAGCGCCGATCACTCTTCCCAGTTGCTCTTAGCGAAATTCATCTTCCATGCCTCGACGGTGAGCCTCCTAAAAGGACCTCCTGCAAGATGCCCCCGCTGCTCCCCTGCGTTGAAAAGGCAAAAGCTGCCGACGGACGCGGAGCCACCCTGGTGGAGCTCCGAGTAGTCAAAGCGCCCTAGCGCCGTCGTCTCCACTGCCCCGGACTTACCTATTGAAACAGGGTGACCGCATCGATCGCTTCGGCTTCGGAGGTGAAAGCTACGAATGCAGCTTGAACGTGTGAACAGGCTCCGCCGCACAACGCAGTGGGACAGGCGATGAATGCATTGTGGTGTTGCGGTTTGTTGCTTTCCCTCACCTGCTTGTCATCGCTGGATGAACACGAATGCTCCCTTCTCGCACGGCATTTTTCCAGCATCGCATTTCCCCGGCTCTCCCGCCCTCTCTACCATGTGAACAGTGCAGTCTGGGGCATGTTCAATCCGAAGCAAATGCCATTGAGTTAACGGGGCTTGCCAACATACTGCCTTCCTTCCAGTGGCTCTTGAACGCCAACTCTCGTCAGCTCTAGCCGGTGTGACCAATGGTTACTGTCAAGGATGGTGGTAGTTCTAGAGAGGGTGACATCGTTGGTTCCTCCGCCCTCACACGTATGTGTAGTGTTGCAACTAAGATTATACATAAATTACTCAGGAGTAAGCGTCCTTCAGTTGTATGCCCATGCATAGGATTGATGCCGTGATGTAGCAATGCTGCTTTTTCCTTTTTTGTTCCTTAGCCATAGCTAAGGAAGTAAACTTTGCGAATATTCATTTACTGATCTCTGAATGCATATCCCCATGTGCTCAGTTGTCGCCTTTGGCTGGAGCCACGCGGCTCCCTGAACTCTGATGTATTTGAAATATGACACTTCGCGGGGTGGGCGGGCAATAGGAGCCCCGAAACTGTCTCTCTTCCCCTCACTTTGGGCTTGGGGACTAAATTATCTTTCGAAAGGTGCCACGTCAACCGGAGTAACCACAGCTCGTGAGGTTAAATTAGAAACGGCGGTGGTCGTGGTGCTTATTAGTATGGCATCGATTTCTCGAGAAAATCAGCCTGCAAACTCAGGCATGTTTACTTAGGATCCCATTATCTTACTCCTAAGTCAACGTGATTAAAGTTTTCAGCGCAGCTTTGCTAAATAGACCAAAGGTTTTGTTAGATTTAAAGGCGCTGCAGAAGGACTCTTGGGTCTCGCTGTGAGACAACGTGCCTACATCTCCGATAGCTTCTGAATCGAATGGTTCCTTGTTGCTTAACGGATTTACCCTAATATATACGCACCTGTTTTGTGTGTGTTTGGTGGGAGTCGAGGGAAAGTAGAAATTGCGGAAAGGGGGTAATTGGTTTCCCCCCTTTGCTTTTCTTACGCTCCAGATAAGGAAGGTTGTCTTGTTGCCAAGCTAAAATATAAGGAAAAGGAGAATTCTCCCAACATTCTTCAGGGTACTCGTTGCTTTGAAGTTTTTGCTTTGTCCGACGTGGGGTGGCTGTGTCGCCACACTTCTCTCGTAGGGAATCGGAGCCGCGTACGAAAGCACGTGTCTTTCGCGCCTCTTGTGCATTTCCGCGGACTTTGCGCAGATGAAAGATCCGTTCCTAGTTTTCTGAACGTCTTTGGCAATATGAAGACGCAGCCCCCTTAAAGCTATCTTACCGTGCGTAACACAGTAAAGAAGCGGCTCTCGCAATGGGTGGTTCCAGGAATCGGATCATTTCAGAAACGTCGAGACTTTGTTGTTGTTGTTTGGGGGGTGGCAGTTAAATATAAACCAGGAAAGGAGGAGAATAGGACGCGCGCTCCCACACACCCAAAAAATTGAGCCGATGATGGCCATAATTCAGCAAAGGCTAATGAAGACTGGGGGTGGTTCCTATGCCTTCCTTCGCACGGCACATTAAGACTTAAATTTTGAGAGAGAGGGACTGGTAACTTCAGGAAACAACTGTGCGTAGGTCGAGGGCGCTTTTGCTTGCGCGTTTGGTGCGAGCGGGGTGGAGCGGAAGCCAATTTCGTGTGGCCTCTTTTCTTCTTCTTTTTGAAACTTGCCTTGGGCGTCAGCGTAACGTACAGGCACAAATTAGTCTTCCCTGTGGTATTTAAACTGCCCTCCTCTGTCAACTGTCATTGGAGGGAGAAGCCGTTTCCTCGTACAGCTTCAGCCTCCCCCCGCCCCCTTGGAAAGTCCAAACTATGGACACGGACAAATTTATCTGTAATTAGAGGCGCATACAAAAGCGGACGAACAAGCGGGCGATGGAACTTGGTATCCCAAGGCTACTTTAGGAGAGATTCTACCAGGTGTTAAATATGGTGATAGTCGGACAGTGTAATTATTATTAATAATAATTTATTCAAAGGAAAATGTCTTTTTAAAATGCTGCAGAGGTTCTATGCGTTGTGAAAATTCATCGACGTAGACCTGGATAATATATAGTGGGGTCTGGGGTGCAGAGAAAGAGAGCGGTTCATGCTTTCAGGTCACTAAAGGAGAGCGGTGAATGCGGAACAGCCAGCAGCAAAGGGAATTGAAGAGGGGAAACTGAAAATCGGTGTGTGCAAAACAAAGAGTGCCTCTGAACATGTGCCGATTGCTTTCCATTAACCTAACTTGGATGGACACTTTCCTTGCAGTAATGTTTTCTGGAGGAGCGCAGAGGAGGGGTGGGAGAGGGAAGCCTTTTCCAGGGAAGGGTGGCTTTGCTGGGCGCCGGCAAGTCTCAGAGGTCAGCTATGGAACAGTTCCGGTTTGTAGGAAGCCTGCGGGCAAGAGAGAAGCGCCCTCTCCCCGAGATTCTGCCGCTCCGGGTCTGCTTTTAATAGAAACCAGGGGCAAAATAGTAATAAATAATAAAAACCCGGGATGCTCGGTTTCCTCTCTCAAGGACCGCTGCGACGGCATCGGGGGTTGGGGGCTTATCCCCGCTTTGCTTCGACCCCCCCTCCAAACCGGTTCATGCTTCGCCGCCACCCGAGGATGCAGCGAGATGCTGGCCCGAAAGGCGGGCGTCGAAGTTTTCTCTCTTTGATCTGAGCACGTGCATTCCCAGGGAAGCCTCGCTTAGGAAGGCGCTTAGGAAGGTGGGTGGAGACTGGAAACGAAAGAAGGAACCCAGTGGACGCCGCTGGGCAACCCAACCCGATCCCTTGCAGACAAGAGGCGCCCCTGCGCTTTGGAAAGCTCTTGTCCAGGCCAGGCGGATCAGTCTGGTGGAAGTAACGTAAAGATTTCCTGGGTTTCTACACACACACACTTCCGAATTTTTGCTGTTTCTGCGCACTCTTTCTCCGCTTGATTTCTCTGCTCTCTCCCTTCCCCTCCGCGTTTCGATTTAGGAAGTTTGGGAGAGTTCCCAGCTGGTTCCGGCTCTCTACCTTCCACGGAACTTAAAAGGCCGAGGTCCGTGGCAGGAAACGAATGAGCCGATAACATCTGACACCAGTGACCAGTCCGCTGACCCCCAGCCTTAATTCCGCTAAGACTGGAGGCCTCCAAATTTGGGCAAGCGCGCCTTTCGTCGAATAGCGCCGCCTCTGCTTTTCAGATACTGCTCCTTATGGTTTCCTACGTCTTACTATTGCACACTTTGTAATTATTTCCTGAGTTAAAAGGGAAAGCTACTCTTCAGAAATTAGTCATCGTTGCTGAATCAGACGCTAAATGTCCACAGTTCAAACTTCTCTCTCTCTCTCTCTCTCTCTCTCTCTCTCTCTCTCTCTCAACATGTCTTGGAGTTTCATTTTGAGAGAATTCCTAGAGTTCCTGCATGTTTACTCTTAAGTAAGTTGCACTGTATTCACTGGGACTTACTGTCCTGAAAGTGTGGTTAGGATCGCAGTTAAAGGCGCCACTCATTGCACAGGTTGTCATTTCACACACACACACACACAGAGAGAGAGAGAGAGAGAGAGAGAGAGAGAGAGAGAGAGAGAGAGAATGAATGCTGAGGAATATTTTGAACTGAGTTTGCAAAATATTACCCGACAATTACCATCCCCTAGCCAAAGGAAGCACACATTGCATTGGCTTCTGAGTCAATGGAAGCCGGGCTGTTGCCGTTGTAGGCAACAGAACTGCATAAAGTGAGAAAGCAAGAGTGTTGACATAACTTTATGGAAATCGTTTGACCTGTCTAAAGGTACTCTGAAACATAAGTATATTCATCACTTTCCTAAAGGCAAAAACCAGTCTTGTTTATTATGAGACATTCGTTCGTGGACTTGATGTCTCTAGGAAACCTCATGCTATAAATGTGCAAGTGACGAAGATTCAGTGACACCAGACTTTGAGGGACGTGAAAGCCTGTCGTTCGAATTTCGCCAAACAGCACCCGGAAGAGAAGGCAGACAGATCCATTTGTCTTATCCCGCTGTTGCTAGAAGCGTGTAGGAAATAACTACAATATTTGCTCCCCTCTGTCCCCCAACAAACCATCCTCCAGCAACGCGCATCTCCGCCCCGCCCATATCAAGCATATAGCACTTTATATAAAACAAAGATCTGACTGTCCCCCTTCCTGAAAATGGAGAATGCACCTATCTGTCCAATTACACGCGCAAGGCCGGGCTGCAGAGTCCATGGATGTCAATGAAGCGCGCAGACCGATTCTGTACCTGGAAAGGGCAAGCTCCGTGGATTCAGCGCAGGGCACCACTCCGGCGACGCAGGGCGAGGAGGAGGGGCCGGGGGAGGGGCGGCAGTCGAAGCCGACACCGCTGGGCGGAGGGAGGCCGGTCGAGCGCCACTCTTGAAATAACCAAGAGGAAATTTACAGCTGAAGACGGCGAAGGAATGTCCTGATCTCGGGCGCCTGCTCCACTGAAGCCCGCGACGCGTGCATTTCTTTCATTCAAGCAGAAAACCGCCCTCGTGGCACGAATGTTAAGAGGGGATCACCTCGGTGCCAAAAAATAAAATCGCGGAAAGAATGCCCCTGCCCCGCAAAACAACCAAAAACGGTAGAGGGAAGAGTAAATAGGCTCTTTTAGCCAGTCCGGAGGTCTTCTGTGTTTGTTCAGACTGCCTGTCGCCAGTTCTAAAACAACGGCGGGCAACTTTGCAAACGCATAAAAGCATATTCAGGGGAGATCAGCAAACTGGGCGGAGGGAGGGAGGGTGGGCAGAAGAGGAAGGAGAAAATCTATCTTGCAACCTGTCAAGCCGCAACCGTCCAAACTTTAGGCTGGTAGAGCACGAGAAATTTTTGTTTTCTTACTTGGCTTGAGTGGTGAGACCGGGGGCCTGAGAGCACTTTATTCGGGTAGAAACGCCGAGAAAATAAATTGTGGGGGGGAGGCTCTAGATCCATGTGCTTAAAAATTGGGGGGGGACTCACAGTGGAGCGGGAGGGGGGACTCTGGAACATTAATTTTTCTGAAATATATCGATCAAGATACCAATTTTTACCACTTACTTGTTCCAAGTGGTGAAATGATTATTAGAATGGAGACCGAACGCGCGTAATTCCTGTTAATGGTGGTTCGGTCTTTTATTTTGGAAAAGAGATAAATTTGGGACCGCACAGGGAAAGTGCTACGAGTAGTGTCACACGGGCTCCTTAACGCCAAGAAACGGGTGTGTGCGTCCAAGCGCCGCTCGCAGGGCCAACTTATTCTTCTTCCCTTTGTTTTCTCACTCCTCGCTCGCTCGTTTCCTCGGGATTTCCCCACCCACCCCCGCGCTTTGCTTCCTCATTTCTGGCAAATTCATCCCCCCCCCGTCTGCGCTTTTCTAGGGTCTCCCCCCCCACCTCCTGGAGAACAATCGTTGCTGATGGAGGCTCTGCTCCCTGCACCGCTCGGCTTGCAAGCTGGCCTCTTATTTAGGAAGTCATTAATCACATCCCCTTCCCCCGGAACGCGATGGCCGAGGAACCTGCGCAGCGCAACCCCCGGGCGCCTCCCCGCCCCCTGATGGCCGCCCTTCAAGGCTTCGGAACGCGAAAGGCGAACGGAGGTGCTGTCGCGTTTCCGGTGGGCGTTTCAGAATTGAATAGGTAATAAGCTGGGGAGGAGGCGGCTTTCACCGTGGATCATGCCTATACACTATGCCTACATGCCATAGGAATATGCTTCATATACCATTTATGTTTAGCGACTATAATTTGTATGTCAGTTCAAAGCTGCTTAAAAGCAGTCGCTTTCCTCCCTACCTTTAGCTCACGTGGTATGTGTCTTTTCAGCAGTATGTGTGATCTTAATGGGGCGGATATGGACCGTAGAATTGGAAGGGAACCCGAGGGTCATCTAGTCCAACCCCCATTGCAATGTAGGAATCTCGACTAGAGCAGATATCAAACCTCTGCTTAGAAACCTCCAAGGAAAGAGAGCCTACCGCCTACTCTATCCGATGCTGTGTCAGTTTGACGTGTTTTTTTGTTCTATGTATGATATATAACCCATTAGCGGATTTTGTGTACCAATATCGACAGTGGTGGGGGGTGGAATATCTTTGCTTTCCCACCAACAGGCACCTTTTAATTTGTAATGCTCCCGCGCACCCTTATGGGGCGAGACGCTCCATTAAACTCGGTGGGGCTCACTTTTGAGAAAACACATAGGATTACGCTGTCAACCTATTAAGTTACCGATCCTATGCTTCGAAATAAATAAATGCATGGCCCTGCTAAAATAAGTCCCACTGTGTTCAGTGAGGTTTCTATTTTATTAGCATTCGTCAGGTAAATGTGCATAGGATTAAATCCCGGCCTCATACATCCCCATAATCCACCGAGTCCCTTTCAACGGGATATAGTTTGCATCCTTACGCCAAGACCCTAAGGCTGCAGTCCTCAACCCACTTACCTGGGAGTAAGCCCCAGTGAATTGAGTAGGACTTACTTCCGAGCAGAGATAATGGCTAGGATTGCGCTGTAAATGGATGAAACAAATAGCGCGTTTAGGATTGCCCCTTTCCCCGGTTTCAGGCTAGGTAATTTTATCGACTACTTTGCGGATCAGCCTTCAAATATGCGATCTTCAGGCGCGCTTGCCGGCCAACGAGGCGCGCTCCCGCCGCGCAAGTGCCCCAAGCCGAGGGCCATTATTGGCATTTGCACGTGGGCAGCGAAAGATCCGCCACTATATTGGCAGCGCCGCAGCTTTAGTGCCCGAGAATCTCTCTCTCGAAGAGACACGCCTCGTTCCTCCAACCGGCGCCCGGATCTACGTAGCGAAACGTGCCCAGCCGCGGCCAGGCGAGGGTGTTTTGAAATTCCGCCGTTCATTCATAAATTATTGCGGTGTGTCAAGCCCGCTCGAGGTGCCGATTGGCTGCTCCTCCTCCTCCTCCTCCTCCTCGCCGAACCCCCTCCGAGCGGCCGAGGTGAAATTAGTAGCAAGCAGGCATGTAATTGACGGAGTCACGTGCGCGCAGGGGCCCAGAAACGGAGCGAGAGCGCGGCCGGGGGCGGGGGATCACGAGAGGGCGAAGCGCAGGAGAGCGGAGCGGGCGAGCGCACGAAATCAAGATGTTAAGCTGAGTCAAAAGACTCTCGGGAGCAGAGGGCCGGTGGGGCAACATGGCCGAAGGTTATTCCCCCCCCCCAATCCCCGGCCAGCCCAGCTCTTGTTTTGCCTAGGCTTTTTGTTGTGCTAGGTTTTACTTTCCACCGTTTTCTTAAATATGCATACAAGAGAAGGAATGTACTACTGAAAAATAAAAATAAATGATCGCTGGTGTTTTTTTAAATAAAATAAAATCAAGGACGTGGAGGGGGGGACTTCTGTGGTTGTGGGTGGGAGAACCTATTGTGGGCGAGCTTTCCCCAGTGCTCTGCCCCGCCCCCTTCGATTCACCCAACTTGAAAAGCTTTCCGAGGGGGCTTCTGTTCGAATTGTTCCTGTGCGATTGAGCAAGCAGTGGCCAGGAGGGGGGAAAGAAAGGGGGGGCAACGAGGAAACTTTTGTACACCTGCCCCCCTCCTTGAGTCCAGATTAAAGTGATTCCGGAGTGGGAGGGGGGATTCGGCGGAGGAAGGCTAGGGAAAGGCGCGGAGCGCGCTTGGCGAAGGAGAAACACGCCGCTCGCTGCTGGATGGGCCGCTCCAAGTGCTTGCGCAATCGCCTCCTCTCTCTCTCTCTCGGCTCGGCCCCCTCCCCTCCCTCCCCTCCTCCTCCTCCTCCTCCCACCTCGCCTGGCCAGGCAGGGCTCATTCGCCTGCGAATTCCTCTGGGGAGGGATGGGATCGGTGCTCAACCAGCAGTACCCAAGTAAAGTATCGCTTTCTGGGGTGGTTTATGTGGCTGAAAGATGGAGTTAAAGGGCAGGATCGCACGTATGTACAGAGCAAACGTGGGCTGGGCTGCTGCGTGTGGGGGGAGTGTGAGAAATAGAAGCGGAGTGAGTCACAGCAGATGCTGCCTTTCCTTCGACAGTGCCCTGAAGCTTTGGAGGTTATTGGTGTGTGTGTGTGTGTGTTTAATTTATTTTTTTACTACTTCCTCTGTGACTTTGGTGTACTTAATGTTTTTGTGGGTAGGGGAAAAACAAAGGTTGGTTTCGTAATGTTTGTTCGTGCGTGCGTGTGTTTTTGTGTGTCATCTGTAGCAATCGTTCTTGTACAAGCGCCAAGGAGATGTTACTAGAATTTAATTCTTTCCCTTTTTGTGTGTGTGTACGTACGTCCTTGTTCTCCCGCAATCTCCTCTTCAAATCAGCGGGGGCGCGTAAAGGTGGAGATGAGCCCGGGAAATTGCCGGAACAAGAAGAAGAAGAGGAGGAGGAGGAGGAAGAAGAATCCCAGGTTTTGCACGGAACAGGCCATTGCAAGTGGTTTAATGTGCGAATGGGGTTCGGATTTATTTCCATGCTCAACCGCGAGGGAAGCCCCTTGGAGACTCCGGTTGATGTCTTTGTACACCAAGTAAGCCCGTTTTGTTGTTTTAGTCGAATCTCAGCCCCCCCCCACCCCATCCCAGCCATTTCCCTCTAACCCATGCCTTCGTTTTATGTGGTCTAAAAACCCCTTCTCTAAATGCTTCCGTAGATGTTTGTGAGCTCTGTTTAAACCCAGCTTCAGAGAGCAGTTTCTGTTTGCCATCCAACCGCCCTCCCCCCACAAATGAGATCAGTATCCATGGCTTGTTGGTCCTTCAGAAAGAAAAGTCTACCATCTCAACAGGTTTTTTGTTTTTTTTTAGTAGAAAGTCTTGCTTTTGTTTAGCGTTCTCTTGCTTTGTTTGTGGGTGGATTGCGTTTTAGTTGTTTTTCGTGATGGAAGAGATTCTTCTCTGCTAAAATGATAGTAGGGAAAAAAAGCAAGTCACCTAAATGACTCCCAGGCTGCAGCTCTGTGCATACTTATCAGAGTTAACAGTGGGACTTAATGTTTCAGTAAACATGCACAGGATGGTGCTGATAACTTTCCCCACGGTGAAAATTAAGATCCTTTTAAGTGTTGTGGGCTCTTTCTTTCTCTTAAAAAGCTAGATAGTGTTGTAGTTTGTTTTTATGATGCTTATGTTCAGATCAAACAGTAGTGCACAACTTGTATTTGTTTTGCTGCAGTGTAGTGTGGATATTGAAAGAGTTCGTATAGTGGACTATGATACATCAAAGGATCACTGGTGTTTTGTGTTTTTGTGTGTGTGAAGGTCTTCTGACTGGAAAACATTTTCCTGACATGTATAAGGCCCTTGTCTCCTTAAGGGCAGAGGGCTCAAAAGCCAATGTACAAGAGGTGGCTATTGTCCTCATATATGTGTATATAAAAGCAAGACCAAGCTAATGTTGATATTTACTATAAAATCATTACAATAATAGCGGGAATGTAACAAAACAAAAAACTTGTGGCATGTGTGTGTTCTTAGAACTGTCTTCTTTACCCCTTGATTTTCTGAGCCCAGAAAAGCAGTAGTTCAAATCTGAATTGTAGTGTTCTTTTTATTGCAGTAATCTCAAAAGGGTAAATTATTGGGTTACTCATAGAATGAAATACCCTTAAGCCTAAATATATTTTGCTAAACTTCAAATTGATTTAAATGGAAGTCATTAACCCCATATGTGCTTACTACTGCTTATAGTTTGTTTTCAGAACATGGATAATGTTTGAGTTGTGACCACATGAGAACTGCTAA